GATTCAGGAATGAACACAATGGGTTTGAGCTCAGTGGCGGGTATACTGTGTTGCCTAGGGTAATGGTTGGTTGGTGGCAAGCTGTGTATTGGTTTTATGTTATAGAATGGCAATCCATTGCGGTCAGGGAAAGGGTTATTGATAGCTTTGGGATTTTCAGGTAGGATGATGACATTTTTGTCAATCAGGTCTTGAATTTCATGGCGAAGGCGAAAGCAACGGTCAGTGTGGTGATCGTACTACTAATGGAATGTGCAATATTAGGTAGAGTTGTGTTTAGATGGGAGAGGGTTAGGGAGAGGTCGAGGATTGAGCGGTTTGAGATACCCTTTCTCCATCAGTACCTTCAATGCACAAGTTAGGCTCATATGGAGATAGGCGAAGGTTCATTTTTGGGAGAAGGAAGTGTAGAGAGAGAGTGTGTAGGTTGCACGATAGAGAGAGAGAGAGTGTGCTATGCAAGTATTGAAGTTTTTGGAATTTTTTCTAACCTTAAAACCAAGAGGGAAGGTTATCTATATATAGAAACACAGCCTCTCAGGTTGGAAATTTCTATATATAGACAGCTGGTGCAATGCATGCACCTGTGGGAACAGCTAGTAACAAATATCTGCAAAAATCTATTTTTGACACAAGTGGCCAGCCGCACACTATTAATGGACGGCCGTACACTTTTTCTGGCCGGTTGTACACTTGTGGGGACACTTGGCTGGCCAATCCACTCAAAATGGCCTAATTTTTCACAACTGGCCGACATTATACAATTAGTGGCTGGTCGCACACAAAAATTAGCTTCCAAGCCTGACTTCAAACGGGGATATCTCCCTCATCTAGACTCGATTTTAGGTGATTCTTGAGTCTAAATTGAAGCTCCAGAAGTCTACTTTCCAATGGTGGTGGCCTCATATCTTAAATCTATGTGTGCAAAGAGTGATATCAGAGCATGTGTACTACAGCACACATGAGTCCATATGAGCTTAGGATGTCCTAGTAAGAAGTAGGGTCATTCCATCCGCATGTGTAAGTGTGTGTTTATTGAAAGTGAAAACTAAATCTGATTATAACCACAAGATATGGAAACAAATGATCTGAATATTGTAAAAGGACTATCTGCCTATGTTTATAATGTTCTGTATACCTATAGCAAATGGAAAATACAAGAAGTGATGGAACAGTTGAATCATCCGAAGCCCGAATGAATCGAATAGAACAAATGCTTGCAGCTCTGACCGAGGCAATAATGTAGCAACAAAGGCAACAACCTTTACCTCTTTTGCCTCCGTCGATACAAGTTGAACCGGACAATAATGACATTATCAACTTGACTTAGAAGTTCATGAAAATGATGCCACCCACTTTCCTAGGTGGCATTGAGCCGTTAAAGGCAGAAACATGGCTACTTGAGATGAAAAAATTATTCGAGGTCTTTCTTTGCCCCTACTCTGAGACTCAAAAGGTTCTTTTGGCCACCTATACTCTAAAGGATGAAGCCTGTAGATGGTGGTTGCTAGTCTGGAATAGTAATGAGACATGACATGGGCTTAATTCAATATAATCTTCTATGACAAGTACTTTCTGTAGTGCTTTCGAGACTTAAAGGTTTCAAAATTTCAAGAACTCAAGCAAGGTAGAATGTCTGTAGTTAAGTATAAGGCTAAGTTTACTGAGTTTGCCAGATTTGCTCCTCATATGGTGGACACAGACTATAAGAAAGCCCGCAAATTTGAGGGTGGATTGGATTTAGATATACTGGATCGGGGAGGAGTCCTCAACCTACCTACGTATGTACAAGTATTGGATAGAGCATTGATGGCGGAAGCCATTTTGGCTGCAAAGAAACAAACTCTTGTTCCAACAAGTGAATGGAGGGGCAAACGATCGGGGTCTAATATCAAAAAAGGTCGGTCATTCTCAAAGAAGCAAAATTACAGATCTTACAGTAGCTCAAGCCAAAGTAGTGGATATGTACCGACTTGCTCAGAATGTGGTAGGAAACACAAGGGGGTTTGTTATCGAGCATCATGTGCCTGTTTCAGGTGTGGTAAAATCGGCCATATAATGAGAGATTGTCCTGTCAGACTCCAAAATACCAATCACCCCGCAAAAAGTTTAGTCGGATCTGCCTCGGCATCAAGAATGAACACAAAAGCTAACACCGGGAAGGAAACCTTAAAGCAGGGTCAAGTATTTGCTCTTGTGCCTGGTGATGTACAGAACATCGAAATCTGTGGTGTCAGGTATAATTTTTATATGTGCTCAGAATGCTTATATGCTGATTGATTCTGGTTCCACGCATTCATTTGTATCGCACGTTTTTTTCTTGGAAATTAACTAGACCATTAGAACCTATGAACTGTTTACTATCTGTGTATACACCGAATAGGGGTTCTGTGATATGTGCTTATGTTTATCCAATATGTGATATTGTAATTGGTGAAATGACATTGTATGTTGATTTGTTGCCCCTGAGCATTGATCATTTTGATCGTATTCTGGGTATAGATTGGTTGACTAAATATTGTGCCACCATTGACTGTGCAAGTAAATCAGTTGTGTTTAGACCACTGGGTATGCCTGAATCTGTTTTTACTAGAAATGGGATAGTTTCTCCACCATACTTGATTTCATTTATGAAAGCCAAAAAATTATTAAGAAAGGGTTGTCGGGGCTACTTATGTTGTGTGTTGGCAGAGTCTTCGGATGGTACTAAAGTGGAAACAATACCCATAGTCCGTGAATTTCCTGATGTATTTCCTACCGACCTACCTGAGGACTTGATTGGTAGAGAAATTGAGTTTACTATTGATGTAGTACCTGGAACACAACCTATCTCTATGACTCCTTATAAAATGTCAACTTCTGAACTGAAAGAATTAAAAACTCAACTCCAAGAACTGTTGGACAAGAAGTTTATTCATCCAAGCACTTCACCTTGGGGTGCTCTAGTGTCATTTGTCAAAAAGAAAGACGGGTCTTTAAGGTTATGTATTGATTATCGCGAGTTAAATAAAGTAACTGTCAAGAACACGTATCCATTACCCCGAATAGATGACCTGTTTGATCAACTTCAAGGAGCCCAAGTGTTTTCTAAAATTGACCTTAGATCCGGGTATCATCAATTAAAAGTCAAGGCAGAAGATGTAGAGAAAACTACATTCAGAACTAGATATGGGTATTATGAATTCCTAGTCATGCCATTTGGGGTAACTAATGCACCTGCAGCATTCATGGACTTAATGAACAGAGTGTTCAAACAATTTCTTGATGAGTTTATTATTGTATTTATCGATGATATATTGATTTATTCTAAAAACAGGGAAGAACATGAGAATCATCTAAGAATTGCTTTACAGACCCTAAGCGAAAATAAATTATATGCAAAATTCTCCAAATGTGAATTTTAGCTTGACAATGTGGCATTCTTGGGACATGTAACCAACAAGAACGGTATCTCCGTTGACCCACAGAAAATTGAAGCTATTGTGGACTGGCCCAGATCGACAAATGTAACAGAAGTTTGAAGTTTTCTAGGACTTGCAGGCTATTATCGTAGATTTGTAAAACATTTTTTCAAACTTGCTTTACCGCTCACTCAATTGACACAGAAAACTACATCATTTGATTGGACTGATCAAAGAGAGACTACTTTCTAGGAGTTGAAGACTAGGTTCGTAACTGCACCAATTTTGATTTTGCCTAATGGTACTGATGGGTTTCAAATTTACAGTGATGCTTTCTACAAAGGTTTGGAGTGTGTGTTGATGCAAAATAGGAAAGTGATTGCTTATGCTTCTCAGCAACTCTGCCCTCATGAAAATAACTATCCAACCTATGACCTTGAATTAGCCGCTGTAATTTTTGCTTTAAAAATTTGGCGCCATTATTTGTATGGAGTGACTTGTGAAGTATACATAGATCATAAAAGCTTAAAATATTTCTTCACCCAAAAAGAGCTGAACATGAGATAGAGAAGATAGTTAGAGTTGATTAAAAACTATGATTTGCAGATTATGTATCATCCGGGAAAAGCTAATACTGTGGCAGATGCCTTGAGCGAAAGTCAATGGGAAATTTGTCATGTTTGCTCACTGGTCAAAAAGAATTACTATGTGACTTGGAAAAGAATAAAATTGAAGTAGTTTTGCGTGAACATGGTGGAATTCTAGCTACTATTTCTACTCAACCCGCAATTATTGAAGAGATATGAGGCAGGCAACTGCAAGATACATTTTTTAAAAAGATTGTGGAAGAAATTGACTCAAAATCGAGACCGAGATTTGTTCTTACCAATAATGTTTTGAAATTTCAGAATCGTCTTTATGTACCGGATTGTTGTCATTAGAGAAAACGTGTTATGACTACAGCTCACAATTCTAAGTTTGCTATGCATCCGGCATCCGGGAAACACAAAGATGTATCATGACTTGAAACAAAACTTCTAGTGGCCGGAAATAAAGAAATGTATTGCAGACTTTGTGGCTAGATGCTTGCATTACCAACAAGTTAAAACTGAACATCAAACACCCGCCGGATTACTTCAGCCGCTCTCAATACCGGAATGGAAATGAAAGCATATCACGATGGACTTTATTGTCGGTTTGCCTCGCTCTTCTCGAGGTATGGATTCTATCTGGGTTATAGTTGATCGTTTGAATAAATCTGCCCATTTTCTGCCTGTTAAAACTATTTATAATGCAGACAAGTTAGATAACATGCATGTGAAAGAAATTGTGAGATTATATGGTGTACTAATACCTATTATATCTAACAGAAATTCAAAATTTACATCAAGATTCTGGCAAAGTTTACAATAGGCCTTGGGAACCGAATTGCGATTGAGTAATGCCTACCATCCACTAATAAACGGTCAATTCTAAAGAACAAATCAGACTTTAGAAGATATGTTGCGGATGTGTATGTTAGACTTCCAAGGGAGTTGGGAGATTTATCTTCCTCTAGCCGAGTTTGTGTACAATAACAACTATCAATTAAGTATTAGAATGGCTTCTTATGAAGCTCTATATGGAAGGAAATGTCGTTCTCCTATCTGTTGGGCCAAAGTAGGTGACAGACCATTGTTGGGCCCAGAACTTGTGCAGGATACCACTGAAAACGTGAAATTGATTCGACAAAGATTAAGAACCGCACAAAGTCGCCAAAAGAGTTATACAGATGCCCGTAGGAGAGATAGAGAATATGCAGTTGGGGATCATGTGTTCATAAAAGTAACTCCTATGAAAGGGCCATTGCGATTTGGGATAAAAGGCAAGTTGGCACCAAGATACATCAAGCCATATGAAATTCTTGAGAAGATCAATTCAGTAACATACCTACCCCCGGTGATAGAAAACATACACAACATTTTTCATGTTTCAATACTTCAAGATTACTTACGAGATCCACTACATGTGATTGAACTGACTCATGTGCTTTTGAAAGATGATTACATATACGAAGAAAGGCCAATGCAAATTGTTAATCGCCGAATCAAAAGATTGAGACACAAGGAAATCCCGTTAGTGAAGGTTGATTGGCAGAATCACGAGGGAACCTATGCAACTTGGGAGACAGAAGAAGATATGATGAGAAGATACCCTGAACTGTTTCCTTTGGACACGGTATTCTTCCAAAATAAAGGTAATTTGAGTTTAGAGGACCAAACTCTTTAAGAGGGGAAGATTGTGACAACCCCGACCCATGATTAATGTTAATCCATTATTTAATATGTCTAATAAGTTATTGAGATCAAATCCTGAATTAATTGCACATGTAATGTATTATTTGTACTTTCATCTGTCTCTCGTAGGAAGATTTATTCATGTTTTCATTTCGGTTTGCGAATTGAAAGCCTTATCGGCATCCGATTCAGCAATTGACTTGATTTATGTGTTATTTGAGATTTATAGAATTTTGTGGCAGGTTTAATTAAAATTTGATTTGGAACAATTAAATTAGAATAATTAATGTCAATTGATTAACCAACTCTTAATTAAGCCTATATAAGGCTAATTTGAGACCACTAGTTCATTGTTGCACCCACATTTCCTCATCTTCAAGCTCCAAAACGTGTAAAGAGAGAGAGAGAGAGAGGCTAAGACAAAGTTGAATTCAAGCAAGGGAATTGCTAGAGAACTTAGAGATTGGCTTGGAACTTCAAACAATTTCCTCTATAGAGTATAGCTGAACACTTGAGGTAAGGAACCAAACTCTTAGTTGTGTAATTGAGTTAGTTCATGTAAGAATTCAAGTGGTAGAGATGGTTTGATGTGAGAATTGAGCTAGAATTAAGAGAATTTGGATCATATCATTCATGCATGCCCATTTGGGCATAATTTGAGTTTGATTTCAAGAGATTCCCTCATGCATGTGTTTATCTACCATTATTTTGGAAAATTCAACTCGTTTGATACCATTTTATGTCAAATGATCATGGTTTGGAAGCTTTGAAGGCAAGATAAAGCTTGGATGTTATACATGTTATGTTTTCAATGAAATGAAGAGTTGCTTTGTACAATTGGCAAGCTTTTGAGCCTTAATTTTGTGAAATGATCTTTAATTCACCATGTGTTCCAAGTTTATATAAGTTTCCTTAAGATTTTGGCCCAAGAAAGCATGATTTACAACTTTGGGATCAAGTTTGAAGCTTGGAAGCAATTATGGAAATTCCAGAATTCTGCTTCCACGCTCGAGTGACAAGTCCTATGCTTGAGTGACCACCTTTATTTCTGCACTTCCGCTCGAGTGACCAAAAGTCCGCTCGAGCGTAAAATGCATTCTCCCAAAAGTTTGCATGTTTTGCAAACCGCTCGATCGACAAAAGTTACACTCGAACGAGGGCATGAGTCTTAAGCTTGAGCGAGCGTCGAGGGAGCATCGAGCGGAAAAATCAAGCAACCAACACTTTTGCAAAAGTTTACAAACCGGTCGAGTGACAGATCTTGCGCTCGAGCGACCACTCACATTTTGCATGTCCGCTTAAGCGAGGACCTTGTTTTCAACAAGTTTTGTTAAGTGTTTTCAAGAGCATTTTTGCATTCTCATTCCATCTTAGGCATTCTTAGGTCATAATTAAGACACAATAATGAGGATTAAAGTAGAGACACACCAAGATAAGAAAGAACAAAGGAAATGTTTCAAAGTGTACAATTGAGTATGTATTCGTTTTGTACCTGTATAGGTCACGCGCCGCAAGGTATCTGAGTTGCCTACTCTATTCGTCTATTTGAGGCTATCTGTTATTTGTGAGCAATAACTTTGTAAAGTTATGTTAGACTTTGATTATTTTTTGATGATATGACATGATTCGTTTTCTGAAATGTTATGTTTTGTGCGAATGAATGATTGTCCAAGTTTTTGAAATGTACTCGTGGCATAGCATCATGTGATATTTTGTGTCCCTTTATAGGTCATCAGGTCCCTTCATGGGTCATCAGAATGCCTTTACGACCGTCCCTTTATGGGTCATCAGAATGCCTTCACGGCTGTCCCTTTATGGGTCATCAGAATGCCTTCACGGCTGTCCCTTTATGGGTCATCAGATTTGTTAACGCTAATGGATATGCCACGTACTATGATGTGAAATGTATGAATTTTGAAAATGAATATGAACAAGTATATGAATATGAATATGTTTCTGATTTGAAATCTGAATATGCATACAACTCTGATTCTGATATAAACTCTAATTTCTAACTCTATGATGGACATCATTTATTAAAACCCCGTTACTTGGTTATTATTCACTGGGCTCCCACTCACTATTTATATTATATATGTAGCTGACCAAGCGCATGACCAGGCTTAAGATGACGCCTGAAGAGTTTTGTGTTTGTCAGCCACCCTTTGTGCCTCTTGAGGAGGTTCCGGATCATGTCAAATCTCATGGCCATGTTTTGTGAATATTTAAGACTTTGGTTCTTTATGTTGATTATGGAAAAATTTTTGTTAATATGTACAGTACTTGGAGTGACGTGTATCAATTGTATCTTTTGACGTCACACGTATCTTTATTAAAATTAAGAATATATGTCTCATGTATGTCTTCACAACTCAATGGACTATGTATATTTCTGTTTATTGCTTCCGCAACCCCTAATTTCATGTTATTTTGTTAAGAGGCCTTCGATAATCCAAGGGTTACTAGCCGGTTATGACGCTAAACCTATAGGGGTGAGTTTGGGTCGTGACATATGTCCACTAATGAAGAGAAGCGTCAAATAAGAAATTATTTTTGACATGAGAGAGATGTAGGGCTTGTTTGGTTTGTCTTTTAGAAAAAATTTTGGGAAAAATTCTCTACAAACAAATTTTCAAGAGTAATCAAACCAAACAAATTTTTTCAAAAAAAATCTCAAAATTTTGTTTGGTTACCTACTTTCCAAAATCACTCTCTCTCTCATACACATCAAATCAATCACTTTTTTTAAAACTCTCTCCCCAAAATAATTTTCCAAAACCATTTCTTAAAAAAGGGAAACCAAACAAGTTTTCATACTTTTTATCTCAAAAGCTACTCTACAAACACAAACCAAACACACCCGTAATACCATGGTAATGAACATCCGAAGAGATTAAACCATTAAGTATGGAAGGTCTCTTTTTCATGCTTAAACAACTATTGTTTGAAACAACTCTTAAATAAAGAAAACCAAGAAATGAGGGAGGTTGAAGAAATTATTATTACAAGTGTGAGAAAATGTATGAAAACTATGAAATAAAAGCTATCAACTCAAATAGGTTGGTGTCTAAGGCCTAAACCACCAAACCTATGAGGACTACAAACTACAACACTACACGTATACTATGCAAAGCATAAATGAAATAAATACACTAAAACAATCCTAAAGCTCACAAAAACAGTGCTAGAATTGAGTTGAAAAAGCTAGAAAAGTTAGGAAAAATTAGAGAGAATTAAAGCTAGTAAACAAACCAAATAAGGGGTGGCTAACCCCTCCACTTTTTGGACCTCAAAACCACATATTTAGCCTCTGAAAAACAATGGTAACAAGTTGGAAAATAGATGGAAAACACAAGGACAAAAACTTGGAGAACAAGGCTCAAGGAAGCGTGGGCAACTCTTCTACCTTTGATAGCTTTAAGTCACAAGTTTCAACCCATAAAAATAGTATGAAATCAGCAAGAAAAGAGTAGGAAGAAGTAGTGTAATGATGGCACAAGTTATACCTCTTGAAGAGGAGTACCTCTTTGATTTACAAACCCACAAGTAATCACCCTCAAAAGCTAAAATTTAGACTCAAGAACCTCAGCAATGAGAGCTAAAATATTGGTTTAGGAAGTATATGTAAGGTATATATAGTTTGCAAGAAAGAGATGTAAGTAATTAATGCACATGTAACTATAATAATAATGCGGAATCGAACTTTATAGGATCTTGAATTCAATACAACTCAAGAATAAAACGAACATACCTTTGTCAACCATTGAATTAGAGAAGTTGATAAAATACCCCTAATAGTTGAACCTTAGATTCTTGGCTCACCTTTTTCTCTCCGTCTCTCTTAATTAAGATGACTATAGAACTTAGTGATGGAAAAATACTTATGATATAAAAAGGGAGTCACCCATCCTTATATAGAGGAGAGAAGAGGGCTAGATAAACTCTATTAGAAGAATTCATGTCCATCCTATGACCACAAGGTTCCAATATACATATGGAAAACTATAAGAACGAAAGTAAAGCGATAAACTCAAATGGATTAACTACTACGTCCAGTAATGTTAGCATATTTATAATTAGAATATGAGTATATAATATCCATAAAATTCACATAATGATTTAGTAGAGGTCGATCTTTGATTGGGTGAGTGGGGTGCTCAATTCATGACCTTCCCCTTTTATACCTAAATTCCCGAACCAAGACATTTTGGTTATGATGGGTAAGTGGCCTTTGGCACGAGTCACAGGTTTCTTAATTTTTTCAAAAATATTAGGGGGCGATTTGGAAATTTGACAATGCAGTCCATTTTTTGCATCTTTTGTGATTAATGGATTTCTATGATTTGTCAGATCTAGACTCTCATTTGTTTTTTTTTATTTCACATTGCACTTGTGAAACTAGATTCAGAACCACAGGAGTTCGAACTATAGGGAATTGCATCCGAGGAGACTAAACCCCTTCGAGGAGAGAAAAAAACCAACTACAAGTATGTGTTGCGAACATTGAGATACCAGTCGATCTAGGAATTGAACTATTTATTACACCATTTTTGTCAAATCTTTTCATGGCAACATTCAATGTGAGAATTGAATTGATTAAGATACCAGTTGATCCCGGAATTGAGTTGTTTATTACACCATTTTCGTCAAATCCATTCATGGCAACATTCAATGTTAGAATTGAATTGAATGAGTGATCAAACAAAATCTTAGAATTGAATTGTCTATTACATCGTTTTGGGTTAAATCCATTCATGGCAACATTCCCCTACTATTTCCATAATCCAATTCTAACATGATGAAATAACTAACTAGAGAGATTGACAATGTTTTATTCTCAGATTTAAAATGTCAATGTTCTTGTGACGCACAACGTAATTTACCAATTGCATAGCTCTTACCTGGGACTAAATACCTATCAAGTACACTCACAACAATGACAATGTTTATTTAACATACAACAACAACATCAACATCAACATCATCACTCGTTGCCTATTCGAAACACACAGATTTGTACACGAACATATACCAATAGTAATATTTTTATTAGTCGGAACGTAACGTAAATATTTGATA